AATTCTATGTATTTAAATTCGAGTGAGTAAGAATTCGGGTGAGAAAGAATTAAAACAAATAAGGAAATATTATATATTATAATTTAAAAATTAATAATTCTATGATGAATTATTTAATTTTATTTAAATAAATTTATCATAGAATTATATTTATTATTATATTTTTTATATAATTATATTATATAATTATATTTAAATGTAATTATAAAAAATTAATAAATGTTAATTAAAAATTGATTTTGTGAGACAAGAACGGAGAGAGATTGATCGTCCCTCTTTATCTAACTAACTGTCATTCCTGCATATAGCATGGAATTAAACCACAAAATCGTGGACATAACACGAATCAGAACCACGTAATCGTGGACATTACCTACCCTAGGATCATGGACATTGGTTACATAGTTCAATGTCCACGTTTTTATGAACATAGAGGCGCTTCAAAATAAAGTTGCAGCTAAATCGCGTGCATGTCCGCTTTCAGGCTTCTCCCTAGTAGTATACATTTTTATGCATATAGAAGCGCTGGTGGACCAATCAAATGCGGGCGTGACAACTCTCAGGCTTCTCTTTGTTATTAGTTCGTTGTGTTATAGATGGCAGTAAAACGTGGAAACAATTGCTATGGTTGACAATGGTTAGCTGTTAATTTTTGTCGTTCATTGGTACGTGTCATTTTTCGTCGTATTTCGTCTTATCGTTAGCATTATGCGCAATTGTTATTCCGGCATGCCGCGGCAGGAAATATGATAATCACCCGTATAGTCCAGGCCGCTTGATAATAACATGCTACTAATATATGATAAGCTACACAAGTCTGCAGACTGTTTTGGAATAAGACTCGCCTGGCGAATAATCATTGACGGATCGCGAGGGGTTTACTGTGGCGCATAAACGCAGAAAGTGACACATGTGTCATCATAGAGTAACCTAACGACGATCTCTCCGCTTGGCTTCTGCGTGAACGAGTAACGATTCTCACCGGTGTGCAATAAACATTAAGTACGAATCTATTTTATTGGAAACTTCATTTTGATAATTTCTTTGTAACATATAAAAAATGTATACATTTTTTATAATTATACATTATATGATCGTATTCTTATTGAAAATTAATTTATACTTCTATTATTAATAGAATATTATATTTTTTATTATGTTGTAAAGAAAGATTGTGTTAATTGATTTGTTACTTGATATTTGAACTATATAAAAAAAATATTGCATCTGTCTTATATCTTACATTATATCATTATATAATTAAAAAAAATATTTTTAATATTTTTTAAACTGAAAAGGAGATATTTGTGTATAACTTTAAATTCTGTTGTATAGGTAACAATGATTGGGATATATCGCCTAGGATTATATTTATTATTATTCGAAAGCTGCATTGGTAATTATGCCAGGTGGAACATACAACTGCTATGCTCAGACTTATATCCACGAGTATTTTTGAGTTATTTACCTCGTGGAAATTTGACTGGTGGAACTTATACACAACAGATTCATCTCTCTAACATGCAGGACTGTGTTATGGCCTGTTGCAAGAAACCCCTATGTAATGTAGCATTCATGCACAATGCTACATGTTACCATGTAGAATGTGAAAACTCCATGATGTGTATACCACTATATAGACCTGAATTGGCAAACGATAATCCACCAAGCATGATATTGGTGAGACCAGTGGAAAGTAACAAAGTATGGAATGACTTTTTGGATCAAATTGATGATGATAATGTTGGGTAAGTTTCAATGTTTAGATAGATGTATTTAGCATTTGTAGTCTTTTTATTTTAAACTAAATAATAAAATTATCTTTTTAATATATCATGTTTTTAGGACACTGAGTACAGATGGTACAGAACAAGATCAAGTATTATTTAACGATGCAAGCAAGATTAATTGTATAGATCAATCGAATTGTCTAAATAATGAAATTTGTGTAAAACATGGTGATACTGATGTTGGAACTTGTCAATGTCCTTTAGGCTTCAAGCGAAATATTGCTGGTATGTATAATATATCAATTTTATATTTATCCATGTAATTTGATAAAAATCTTTTTAAGTTTCATCAAAAAATTTTTTAGCAACACATTTATTCTATTTAGAAAGATTAGTAAATTTTAAATTAATTATACTTTTAATAATTTATACTTATATTATTTGCAGGTACTTGTATAATGATGGATGAAATAGATACGGCTGAACTCGGTGTAACACAACAAGCAAAAATTCCAACTACGAACGATATTAACACATCGATCAAGCCAACTATGAAACAATTATTAGTTTCGGCAGTTTCTAAGGAAGTGAGATTACCAGAAAACGAAGTCACATTATCCGCGTATACTGTCCCTGCTGAACAGGGCAATCAACACTATAATTATGCTTGGAGTCTGCTTAGTCAGCCAGAAGGACACACTGGGACAATGACAGATCAGAATCGTGTTACTGTTAAATTAAGTAATTTGTCAGAAGGTTTGTACACGTTTAAGGTAACTGTAAGCAGTCCAAACGCTTATGGTGAAGCTTACGCCAATGTCAGTGTTTTACCCCGTAAGTTTTTTAAAAGTTTTATATTTTTTTTATTAAGAGTTGTCTGTTGTTACCTAGATTTTTATTTTAGCGAAACGTATCAATCAAGCACCAATTGCCATAATTACTCCCGCTTCGCAAATTGTGAAGCTACCGAACACAGGCGCAGTCTTGGACGGTTCGAGTAGTAAAGATGATGATCGTGTCATCTCTTATCATTGGGAACTGCAACAAGGTCCGATTGGATATCAACCTAACCTTGTGGATACACCTACGCTTCAGTTAGATAATCTTATTGCCGGCAATTACACATTCAAGTTAGTATACCAACTATGTTGTGTCATATTATTGAGAATGTATACAATATGATATTTATATATTGAAACAAGTTAAAAATCTCTTATTTCGCATATTTCTTAGATCAAGGAGTGTCAATAGTCATATATAAATCAATGTACAATTTTTATAGATTAACAGTTGAAGATTCAGATCATGTTACGAATTCGACAAGTGCCAATATAACTGTTTTAAAAGTAACCGACTATCCCCCGAGTGCAAATGCAGGACAAGACGTTATCATTTATCTGCCTCAGAATACATTGACGCTTAATGGTAATTTAAGTACTGACGATCGAGGAATAGCCAATTGGGAATGGACAAAGAGCCCATCTGATCAAAATAAAGCAGTGGATATGCAGAACACAAGAACACCTTACTTACAATTATCAAATCTAGAGGAGGGAATGTATACATTTGTACTTAAAGTAACAGACGATTCCGAGCAATCTTCTACAGCAGAAGTACATGTTTTTGTAAAACCTCCAACGAATAAACCGCCAAAGGGTATTATTTTTATTAATATCTATTAAATCTATTAAATTTATTTTTACATATTGTGCAATTTGATATTTCATTTGAAGAGTCCATTGCCTTTTATATGATTGTTTAACTTTTTGTTACAGCTGACGCTGGTGATGATATAAGCATAGCATTACCGGTAACTCGTGCTGTTTTGAATGGCACAAGAAGTAAGGATGATATAAAGATTGTCTTGTATCATTGGGAGCAAGTAAGGTACAATGTATCTAATTAAATTGCATCTTACATTATAAATCATGTATCTTGCATTTATTATGTATCATTTATATTATAGTGGGCCTAATAATGCCGAATTCACCACAGTTAATGAGTCTATTACAAATATTACAAAATTAACAAAAGGTGATTATGTATTTAAACTAACAGTTGTTGATGATAATGGGAACGCGGATTCAGACATGGTGAATGTAAAAATAACACAAAGTAAGTACTATATTCCCAATCATGTATTATATATATTAAAAGAAATTTTATTCTCTAGATAAAAATGCGCCGCCGAAAGCGAATGCTGGTGGCGATCAAATTGTAACAGCACCGATCAGTGCATTAATTATCAACGGTTCACAGTCGAGTGATGACCTAAGAATAGGAAGTTGGCTGTGGACTAGAGATCAGTCTAGTCTTGCAATTGGCACTATAATTAAAAACACAGATAAATCACCAGTCTTAATGGTAAAGCAAATTTAAATCATGTTTTATATGATATATATA